CACACACACACACACACACACACACGTGTGTTTGGGTTATTTCCACTTCCCTGTGGATCTCTTACTGTCTTGATGGTTTATCTCAATAAAAGGCTTGTTTGCTTGCCCCCTTGGCCCCCAAATAAGCAGCCAAGAAGTGAAATGAAGATCTTTAGATATCTCATAACAGGTCAGTGATCTGAAAGATGAACTGATCTAATATCGAAATCGCAGGCCTTATCTGAGCAAACAAAAGTTTGAGTCATTCGCTGTTTTCTGCTGTGTGGTGGTGTGTGTGAGTTATGGACACTGAAGGAGATTATCCACCATAGCCATTCCTCTAAAGGTCATCAGACTATTTTTTTGTTGTCTACCAGAGCGAGCACACAATCAAAGCTTCATTGACTCAGTAGTAAATTTCAAGGTGGCTTCAGTTACTGCTGCTATTGATATAATGAAATATGAAAATGCAAGGTGGAAAAAAATTCCACTGCCTGCTTATTGTGATTAAACTTCTCTAAGGCTACTTACCACAAAGAACACTTAAAAGCTTATATCAAAGCGATCGACCCACCTTACTTCATGGTAAGAATTAACTAGGTGCAGCATGAAGTGTAAGTGTGTGGTTTCTCACAGTTCTGTGACACAGTTATTTACAATGGTATTTGCATTAATGGCTGTAACTATGTACGAGGTTTGGTCTTCAGTTTTATCTGAAACCTGCCAGCCTTCACACACAGCTATAATGAAGCTTTGTGGCTGTATCATAAAACAGAGAACATATCCTTCAGTGTCTGTGGGGATTTGAAGTAATAAATCAGAGAACATGTCCTTCTGCTTCCTTTTAGCCATCTGCTGACTAACTAGTTGCTTCATCAAAGAAAGAAACTCTGCTCTCCCTTTCATCTAAAATTAATTTTGTCTGATGCATTTTTTTTAAACATCCGATTTCTTAAAAAACAACAACAACAACACCACAGTATTAGATTGAATCAGATTGGTTATCCTTTAATCTTTTAATTTACATTTTGTTGTATATGAATCTTGAAACACTTTTTTTCTGATGAATAAATATTAAAAAGTTTCCTTTTTTCATGTCTTACAAAATTAATTCCAAAGGTAAATAGTAAAGCCAAATAAAGTAAAGCTTGCAAGAAAGTAAACAAACTGATTCCAGACAGAAGTTTGTGACCTGCAGTAGTAATTGGATGCGAGTGTGAAGGTGGTGTGATCTTCATATTTTTATCGTTTTTCCAGAATAGTTTGAAATTCTGGGACATCGTTATTTTAAAGGTACCACATTGAGCTTTTACACTAAGCAAACACAGGTTTGTTTATTCCTGAGAAAAGCCAATCATAACACTCGTATTTCAAACGTCCTTTGTTTGTATATTGTTATATTTCTTCCTATTTTTCTTTTGGCTGCTCCCTTTAGAGGTCGCCATCATCTACTTGCATCTCATCCTATCGCTAGCATCCTCTTCTGTCACACAAACTCTCTCCATCTCCTCCTTCACTTACACCCATGAACCTTCCCTGAGGTCCGTCCTCTTTCCCTTTTGTTTGACAGCTCCATATTCAACATCCTTTCTCCAATACTTTAAAACGACTGGCTCCCGCCTGCACATGTCCAAATCATCTCTAACTTTGTCTCCAAACTCCTCAACCTGAGCTGTCCCTTAGATGTATTCACATTTGTTTCTTCTGCTCCCTTCCAATGAAAATCTGTCATCTGTCAACCTATCCATCACCATTGCAAACAAGTAGGGCTGAGAGAACATCCCTGATGTAATTACGCCCCACCTTGAACCCGTCTGCCACTCATTTAACAATCACAATAAAAGTATTTAAAACTTCCTTAGATGTTTCAAACTTGTGAAATGTGCACTTTGAGTTGTTACACTCTCTCGTTCTCTTTTATTTCACTGCAGTATTGACATTTTCATTTTTATAGCATGACCTGCTGTTGATAGAGCTGTAACTGAACTGTGTGGCTGCATATATTACAGTATCAACAACATCGGGGTCATGGCCTGTATATGAAAGAGAGCCACCTTGATGCTGCCCTCTAGTTTTAAATCCTTTTAAAGCCTGAATTATAAATATCAGTATGTTGGTCTTTTGATGCCCAAAGTGATAATATTTGTATGAGAGAGAGGGAAGTGCTAAGCTTAATTAGCAAGCCACAGACAGTATGGAGCCCCACAAAAAGTATATACTTATACAAAATGCAGTTATTAATTACTGAATAGTGGTAAGTGACATACTAATGAAATACAAAAGTGTCACTAAACACAAGTGGGGCACAGACTCACTGGACAGGCTGTTAACACAGTTTTGCACAGTTAGTCACATCAGCTGCGTTAGAAATTCTCTAAAAAAACACAAGATGTCGAGCTCAATGACTCAAATTCATAGATACTTTTTCATCCATCAGTAAGGACCTGCATGACCTCTGCTTTTGTGCTTCTAAATTAAGATAAAACTAAACCTTAGAAACATAATGTCTGGCCAGATGCTTAATCTGGATGACAGTACCCTGGTCTCCAGTAACACTGTGAGGAATCTTGGCATTGTTTTCACCAGGATATGTCCTTCAGTGTGCATATTAAGCAAGGAGTGCATGTAGGAGTGCTTGCTGGACTCCTGTAATAGTACATATCTGCTTGTTCACTTGTGGTCCCTAGGGTATTTAAAAGTAGAATAGGAGGCAGAGCCTCCAGCTTTCAGGCCTCTCTTTTGTGGAACCAGCTCCCAGTTCGGATTTGGTAGACAGACATCCTCTCTACTTTTAAGATTATTTTAAATCTTAAAAGTAGTTTAGTTTAAAATGTTACATTTTGACAAATTATATAAAGCATATACTTGGACTCTGAATACAGGGTCACCTGTCTGCTCTCGGCTGCTTTTATTCAGTGTCTCTTCCTAATTCACATTTTTTCATTCACCATAATTATTGATTATTATTATTCTAAAGTTTTCTTACACACCATGTCTTTTGTCCAAATTCCTTTCCTTCATACCCAACAGCAGATGGCTGACTCTCCCTGGTTCTGCTGGAGGTTTCTTCTTCTAAAAGGCAGTTCGTTCTTCCCGCTGTCAAATGCTTGCTCATGGGGATCCTTTGATTGTTGGGGTTTCTCTGTGTAATTGTAGGGTCTTTCCCTTACAAAATAAAGCGCCTTAAGGCAACTGCTGTTGTGATTTGGTGCTATATAAATAAAACAATTAAAGGAGATGAAACACAGCTGAATGAAGCAATTACAGCTGGTGTTCGGTGTTCAGCACTTACCTCTTAATCAAAGTGACTATGTCACCAATGATTTTCCAGAACTTTTTGTGTGTTAAAAAAATACACCCTCAACACCCTTTGATATGCGATGAAGGTGTAAATTAGCTGCTGACACCAAAGTCTGTTTTTTTTAAAGGCTGTAAAGCATTTTAACACTGATGTCTTTGGAGATTGACTCACTTTTGGAAACAGCAGGCATTTCTGGATCTGCAGTTTTTGATATTTCCAACATGTTGTAATTTCTGAGCCTCTACTTATCCTCTAAGCCAGAGGGCTAAATTGTGTTTTTTCCAAATATTAACATTTTACCTTTAAAACTATGTTGTTTTGTAAGGATTGTGGGGCTAGGTGGACTGTATATGTAAATTAACTGGCTTAAACAATATTGTGCTTTTGTGTTCAGACCACACAAAGGATTTTACAATACAAGCCACATTCACAACCCAAATGCTCGCCCACACACACATTCAGAACTTTATTGGTTGCACTGTAAAACCTTTATTTGTCTCACACATCCATACCTACAGCTAATTTAGAATCACCTAACATGTCCGTCTTTGGAAGTAAGCCAATTTTGTTTTTTGTTGCTGTTTTTTTGTAAACACACCATTCAAATGTTGTTGTTTTTTATTTACATACTGGTCTGGATAATTCTGAATTTGGTGAATGCAACCATGCACACAGAAAACCTTTACAATGCCCTTCATTATCACATCATACAATATGCAACTATGTGCTTAGCAAGTTACAAACAGAGCTTTATACCATATGAAGACACATTTTTGGACACTTTAAACAGCCTTGCACTACACAAGGTTTTGATCTGTGTACACGTTCTTTCCTTAAAAGTTGAAATATCAACCAGCTGAAATCCAATCGATATCTACGTATGAATTTACATAACATATAAATCACACAACAAATGGGATTGTTTAGAGTATGTACACACAACTACATTTACAATAATACAATTTGTGAAAACCTAAAAAGGTGTTGGTGTCATCATCTTTGTAACAAACTGCACTTAATATAACAAAGCACAAAGTGTATAATAAAAAGTAACTTTTCGGTTGACTCGAAAATCGTACAATGATTCTGTTTTACACGTTTCAAGTATCTGAAGAACATGATCGCAGAGTTTAACCAACCTCAACAGGCAATAACACGATAGAAAAGATGCTAAATATCTGAACTTTCTGCGACCAAGCAGGTCTTTGAAATGCTGTGGCAACAAAAAGGACCTTTCAGACAAAGCTGTGCTATAGAACAGTAGCCGGTAATTAAAAAACGAAAAACAACTCACATTTGACCAGCAAAATTAGCGGTAAACTGACTTTTGGTGTTATGCTGTGGGCCTATATCAGATTGAAAGAAATCTGCATTAGAACCAATTCAATTTCGACAAATAAAATTTGTATTTTATGTACATTTTTTAAATCTCCAACCAAAAGAAATCTACCGCTTGTTTCTTCTTCTTTTTTTCTGATCAAAACAGTCACAAAATGCACCCCTGGCCACATGTTTTCACCATTAAGCAACTAAAAAAGCAATGGCTTGTGGTTAAAGGATCAAAGCAAAGCAAAAGCGGGCTCCCTAAATAAAGGAACAATCCTCTCTCCGGGAAGAAATGAAGTGAGCGTGGGCCTGTCAGCGGTGCGGCTGGAAGGCTGCCAGTGCTGTTAGGTGGAGGACATTTCCATGGTGAGTAGGTACATGCACACTTTAGAGTAATAAGGTGATGGAGTGAGATGGAAGCTGAGAGGACTGGGGATGTGCTGCTGGGATCCACCCACGAGGACAGGTTCGGTCCTTTTATTAACGGACAGCCGAGTGAGAGAAACCCACTGTTCTGCAGACGCATGATTTGGGGGGATTTTGTTTACACGATGGCTGAGGGGTTTAGGGAGGGATCAGTGAGTGCCCAGGCAGAGAGAGAGAGAGAGCAGGGAGAGGGGGGTCACAACAGAGTCCGTTCTCTTTGAGATGAGTTTCTCTCTTGTTTTCTTTCTGCCTCGCCCTGTTCTGTCAGTCAAAGTCTCCTCAGATTGTGCTCCTCCGTGCAGGAGCCTTTCCTCAAGGTTATGTCGTCCACGGCCATCTCTCCGCTCCTGCCTCGCCCGCGCTCCCCCTTCAGGATCACCTGATGAACAGCAGTAAAATGCACACTGAGGTATTCTTGCATAGGAGCAGGAACATAAAGAATGAACATAAAATAATGTTAGATGTTTAAATATTTTTACTTTATGAGAGACTCATTTTTTAATATTTATTGTTATACTTACACTTTCCAGGCCTGTGCCCCATAATGTGATCTGGGTGTGTCTCCAGCCATTTCCACCTGTTCGACCCCAGACTGCTGGACTGTACTGCTTTCCCTTCTTCACAAACACTTGGAGCATTCCCACATGGTGACCTGCCAGCTTGTGCCGGAATGACAAGCACAGATTGCCGTCATTCCAGGGAGGGATAAGGGGGAGGACCAGCCGCGCTCCTCGTCCAGTCCTCTTGTTTCCTGCTTCGGGTATCGTTAGGTAGCGTCCACCTGCAGATGCAAGTCACAGATTTTAAGTCGGTGAGGACATCGTAGTCTAAATTTTCACAAAAAAAAAAAAGTAAAGACTGAGTTGTGTTGATAAGATTAAGCTGCATGAGCTTTCTGTGAGAAGGCTGTACTCTGAAACTACTTAATAAAATAATCAATGTTTGCAGCTTTGCAAACATTGTCATGTTGTTTATCACCTATATCACCATCAGTCTGTACACAGTGCAGAAAAATATATAAGCAAGAATCAGGGATTTGGTTTGAATGCACTTCAATTGAGCCAAACAAAGTTGAAAGACAGATCTGAGAGAAAATTTGTTGAAACAGACCAGAAGAACTAAAATGAACACAAAAATGGGCAAAACTCTCTTTCCTTTAGCTTTGTTTTTGGGATGCATGTGCATTTTTACTGCTACAGAAACTGGTTTCTATTTCACCATGTATGCCATCACACATACCTGTCATTTAAAAACATTTTTATTGGCGTTATTTTCTAGAATCGATGCAAACCTCTGATGACAATGTTTCCCTAGTGGTTTCTAGAAAGCCACATTGTGTTTTCCTGTCACTTTAATTGCTGTCACTTGAAGAACAGTAAAAAGAAATATACACACCAGCCAATTCAATAGGTACACTTTCGAAACTGCTTGTTAACACAAATATCTAACCAACCAATCAATGGCAGTGACTCAGTGCTTTAAGGCATGTAGACATAGTCAATATGATCTGCTGAAGTTCAAACTGAGGATCAGAATCTGGGTCCTAGGACTTTTTTGTTAGGACTAAATGATGAGCTACCTGCCGGCTTTCGCAGCAAAACCAGTGGCTACAGTCTGTGATATGTATTGTGCCAACGGAAGCCTTCTCTACAGCACTTAAGGACAAACCTTTCCTTTTCTATCGCA